GATTTGATTTATTGAAGAGGAATTTGGATTGTGATTTTTGGCTTAATTTTAGAAAAACTTTTTTGGTTTGAGTGAAAACTGAAATATTAATACTAAAATGTAATCTAACTAAGCTCGTGTGTGTGCGCACACACACACATACAAAATATATGTATGTATATGTGTACAGTAAAACCACTTGCTCTTATGAAGTATTTCTAGTGAGATCTCTTTCCACTAATAGCTTCACATTGAGACTACATCATGAGAGTTTTTTTTTTGGAGTATAAGCGAAGCTGTGTTTACCACTTGCCTTCAAGGGGTCTTTCTAGCGAGGAATTTATCCACTACCTGCTTCTTATCGAGACTACCTCATAGACATGTCTTCTAGTGGTATAAGTAGAGATTGCGTCTACCACTTGCCCTCTATGGATCTTTCTAATGCGGAATGTGTCCATTACTAGCTTTCTATTGAAACTACCTCAAAGTTGTGTCTTCTAGGAGTATAAGCGAAGACTATGTATACTACTAGTTTCTTGTTGAGGTTACCTCATATACATGTCTTTCAAGGGTATAAGCAGAGACTTTTAATAAGAGAATGTGTCCATAAAATTTTAACATATTGAAATTATCTTATAGTACTTGATCAATTTATGTCAAATCCATAAACTATCTTCACCATATTATAAAAAAAATTTAAATTTAATTTATACATATTTTTACCAACTTTTACTAATATTACATATGTGATAATAAAAGATTTTTTTATTAAATTTGGCCTCCTTAAGAAATTAGTTTCTCTAAATAAAGGTAATTTTTTAGAAACCCTTTGGTGTTTGTTTAAGCAAACTATTGTCATTAGTATGTTTTAGACAAAATATACTAATTATTGACTATTTTTATAATTTTTAATCCTTATATTTTAAGATGTATGATAATTTATATAAGATTTATATTTAAATCTATTACAATTTTTATAATTACCATCATGTCCAAAATAAATTTATCATAAAATTTTATATAATTTTGTGTAATCCCATTATATGTGTGACTTTTTTGAGTGAGGCTTTTAGTTAGAGAAAGGAAGGAAAAATACAAAATTTAAAGAGAGAAAGTGAGACTTGGAGGACTTGGAGCTAATATTGTCCTTCGATCCAGTTGAAAAAATTGACCGGTTTGAGATAAGTTGTTATTATCCTACTTCCAATTTCAAATTCATTTTTTTTTTATATAAGATTTGGGTATTTTAATTGGTTAAATTTTAAATAAACTTAAATCTATAGAAATTTACAAATAATTCATAGTGTAACTTTTGACATATTTTTGAATGGACTATATTGGACATATTAAATTAAAAAAAAATAATTTCTCACCATATATTTTAGATTATATATTATTTTATATATTTTAACAATTTTACTGAATTTTCTAAAATTTATTATAGAATAAGAAAAACATTAAAATATTGTTATGAAAATCATATATAGCAAGTTTTGCTATTAGTGGTACATATATACTGAGATTGATAAAATTTTGCAACTTGTTTGATAGTACTCATATATGTTAAAATTGATGATATTTTTATACTTTTGCATCAAAAAACATATGGGCAAAAATGGGAAAATGGGGGAAGTGCAAGCTGATAGATGGCAATATTTTATATGCATTCAAGTAGAGTTATAAGAGTAGGTGCACTTGTATAACTATCTATATGTGTATTTAATATGCATGAATAAACATGAACATGTTGAGGCCTAAGCACTAGTCTAACATTAGGGTACATGAAAAATATAAATAATTTGAGATATAAGTTAAGTTGAGATATAAAATTTGAAAGAAAAAAAAAATAAAATATGCTAAATAAAATAATAATAATTTTTTTTATATTATGCTATTTTATTTCGTATACTATGTTAAAATAGTATCTTATAATACTGCTCATTATATGCATATAAATGTTCATAATTTTCGTACTGATATTATTCATGATAGATATATTGATGTGTTTGTTTTGTTCATTTAAAGAAATAATACGTTTTCATATATTTTAAAAATTATAATAAATTTTGAGTAGTCTATTAAACAATGATTTCTCACCCTCCTTTTATTCATGTGTTATTTTAGGAGAGGTTAAGTCACAGGTTTAGTACAGGCTATTGGTTACTATTGAGCGCTCAATCTTTGGTAAAATACTATTTCAGTTCTATTTTTTCTTAAAGTCATGGTGATATACATATTTTGACGATGGAAAATTATATCATGATTATTGTATTTATTCTATTTTATTATATAGTTTATGAAATGATTTAAATTTATGTTAATTGCTTCTAGCAATTTTATGATATTGTGATGATATAAGTGGCTCTATGCTTGTGAAACTTGAGAAAAATCATTTTTTCTAAGTAGATCCTAAAAATTAATAAATCATTATGACATCAACGCTATATTACCCGACCGTTGTGATGATTTCGGTCAGGTTGTATCACCAAACTTAACATGTGTTAGGTAGATCTAATTTGTTTAATACAATTAGTTCTTATCAAGTTATAAAAGGTAGGGAAAATGGTACTAGCATTACTTTTTAAATTTTAGTAAAAAGAATCATGACATGTTGGAATAATTACTAATAACAAATAAATCAACAAATCCCAGAGATGAATATTTCACCATGAATATAAGAAAAAGAACTAATAGTTCCTGAATCACTTATTGAAAATTAATATGTTTCGATAACATTTTTCAATATTAATTTCTCCGGGCATGACATGAAACATAATTTTAGGAATAAGAAAATTAGATGATTGATCAAGATGCAGGTGTTGAAGCTAAACTTTTTCTATTCGATCTTACAATTTATAAATGAATGTTGAATGGAGTCTTTTTTATCATCCTTTCAAGTTTTTAAGTTTGTAGAAATTGACCCTTTCTTTTGTGAGTCTAATCATCCTCCGCATGCCTTGTTCTTGAAAGAAACAACACAAGAGATAAAACATAACAATGCACGTAAATTTTTTAGTAAGCTTTTTGATAAAAAAATGAATTTGTAAATAATTCAGGTTCATGTAAGATATTTTAGAGTGTTAGAGATTTATTTATAAGAGTGTTTTTTTAATCAGCCATGATTATTAATGGTCTGCTAGTAATGTTTCTTTTTTATGTTTTAAGATAAGTAGTGATACATCTTCAGCAAATCTCTATCATACGTCGTGAATCTCGAGGCATGACATAGATCTGGAGATGACTTTTTGAGCGAGAAATATTTAAATTTTGATAAATACTTATCCATAACTCCGATTTCAGCAAATTTATAGTCAAACTGACCGGCTCTACAAGAAGAACAAAATATTACCAAAATTAGTCGAATCCGAGTCAAATCAAGCACAGATCAACTCATTAAACCACTCTTATAAGTTTTTTAGATATATTTAGAAGGTTAAACGAATGTCGAATCTGGCAAGCCCATCGAGCGACTTGAAAAGATGAATGTAACGAGCCTAAGATTGCTCAATTCTGACATTATTCATGCACGAAAATGTCCATTAAATGCTGTCTGATCGAAGAAAGCCCTCTGGGTCGTCCGATCAAAGTGGCTCATATTCCTGCATTCATTACACCAAACACATTCTAAATAGAGTCCCACTCCTCTCATGAGAATGGGCTAGAAGCTTGAGAGAGAGTACTTAAAGCTTTGAGAAGAGTTGAAGTCCACCATGCCCCTGTCACCATCGCTCGTCGTCCGTTGTTGTCGACTGCCGCCAACCTCCGACGACGCCCGTCAACCGTCGTCAATCCTCTCAAACCGTCGTCGATTGTCGTCGACAACTACCGACTGCAGTCGAGCACTACTGTCGCTGTCAACCACCACCGACCGTCAGCAACTGCTAAACACTACTGATCACCAACAATTGCTGTCGACTATCACTGACCGGAAGCTGTCAGTCAACATTATAACATGAAAAACTTGGTAACTCTTTTCCGTCTATAAGACTGAAGTCTTTGTAAATCATCAGCTTATAGCGGATTTCTATATCTGAGTCAGGGCTCGTGATTTTTTTATTTTATGGGTTTTTTACATACAAACTTTTAGTGTCATCACCGGTTCTTTTACCTGAGTGTGTGATGAATTCTCGTGCAACGCTGAGTCGATAATCCATTACACTTCTATCGCAAATTTTCTAGCACGCATCAAACAATATATTAAGAAATTATAAGAAAACATTAAGGCATCATATGATTTATTGCTCCTGAAAACTATAATTCAAAAGTTAAATATTGGCATCTTGAAAATTTTAAAGTTTCAGAATATAAAATATGTGAGAATATTAAAGTACATGTACATGTCACGTATAATTTATATTGTCCTCCAAGCATGTTTTTTTTGCCTTAATGATTCAGATTCAATAAACGTAATGAGTGATTCATTAGTATTACCTTCTGATTACTTATATGTTATATATGGATGTCTTCACACACTTTTGATTATCATCCTTTTGCTGTCCAATTTTAACTTTGTGATTTCCCGCTGGCAGCGATTGTCCTCATCAACACATAATATAATTTTGATTAGGCATTACTCACTAGTCATAGGCATTATTTTAGAATATCTAAAGTTTATGATTATGATGATAATTAATTTTTTAAATTACTCAAAATATAATTTTGATTAGACACAGGCATTACTCTGCCAGCAATTGTCGTCATCAACACATAATATACTTTTTCTCTCTTTATTATGGCATCACAATGAAGTCAAATGGGCGACGGAGAAGACGGTGGGAGTTGGAGGATGAGAGAGTGCGAGATCGTTGCTGAATACGAAGAATCGGTGCTGACAACACGTATGCACTTGAGAGATGAGAAGCTTCAAACCTTCACGTTTTCAAAGGGGAAAAGTGTCTTGATAGTGAGGTTTAACTGTTAGATATTGCCATTATGACCCGCGGGACCAAAACGTACAGGTAGGAAACAGATCGGAGCGAGAGAGAACAGACAACAGAGATGGAGAGGTGCACCTCGCCAGTTGAATGAATCATTAACTCTCTCTCTCTCTCATCCCTCTACCTCTTACGTGTGAAAGTTAAGGCCTTTCGTAAACTTCTCAACATTTTGATCGCGCTTCATTTAATTACTTACTCGTAAAGTTGTAAACTTGTTGGTGTGGGCCTCATCAGCTTTTGCATTGTGAGCACCATAAATATCAGGTTCGCCATAAAAACTTGGAGAGAGGCCAAACGCATTACTCTTCTTCCTTCCAGTCTAGGAGCTCGAATGGGTGCTCCAGTTTCTTCTTGGCCATGGCAGAATCTTGGCTCTTTCAAGGTAAGCAAACTGCAAACCATTCATTTCTTTTAACATATTGCTTCCTGTAACTTTGGATGAAATTATGGTTGCAGTACCTTCTTTATGGTCCTCTAGTGGCCAAGGTCATCCATTCCAGAGCATGGGAGGGAGGAAGAACGGAGGGAGTTTGGTGTCTCCATCTTTTACTTCTCTTTGCTTTCAGAGGTCTGATTCATCAGCTATGGTGGTCTTATAGCAGCATGATGTTTCTAACCAGGAAGAGGAGAATCATTAAACAGGGCTATGACTTCAAGCAGATAGACGAAGAGTGGGACTGGTAACTGTGCTTTATATGAATGGATTTAAATGTTTGTTTGCTGCTACATGATTTGCGACTTTGATGGCTAATATTTCTTGTTTCAGGGACAACTTTATGATACCTCAAGCATTCATTGGAGCCATGGCTTTCTATTTGTTTCCTTCTTTGAAAGAACTCCCTTTGTGGGACCTCAAGGGTTTCTTCATTGCTCTAATGATCCATGCGGGGGTATCAGAGCCTATCTTTTACTGGGCTCACCGGACTTTCCACCGCGGACAGCTTTTCAGCCATTATCACTCTGTTCACCACTCCTCTGCGGTCCCCAGCTCTTTCACTGGTACTCCTCAACTTTCTTCTTCCTTTTATTTTTAGTCATTATCACTCTGTGATTTTAATTTGGTTTTCTTCCTCAGCTGGGCATGGGACGCCATTGGAGCACCTTGTGATGAGTGTATTGATGGGATTACCTTTGGTGGGAGCAAGCTTCATGGGAGCTGGTTCTATTGGTCTCCTCTATGTCTACGTTTTGCTGTTTGATTTCATGAGATGCATGGGCCATTCAAATGTAGAGATTTTCCCAAGCGCCTTATTTGAAACTCTTCCCTTGTTCAGATACCTTATCTACACTCCAACGTAAGTAAAAATTCTATCTTTCATTCATATATTTAAAAATGCTCTGTTATCGAAACTAAATCTTTGCTTCTAAGCGAAAAAAAACCTTCAGTTAGTATTGGTTATTTTGAGAGGAGGAGAAGTAAGAAAATGTTTCTGAAGTTGTACTAATTCTATTGATGTGAACCATTTATGGAGAGTGGAGAGATGTGGTGAAGATTTGAATTTCTATGATGATAGGAGAAGTGATGCAAGCTATTCTTTATATTTATAGGTGTTGGCTTGCAATTTTGCATTACAGCTAGACAAAGGATAAAGCCCCACCAATGCTCATTAAATATCTTGAAAGTAGCTCCCGAACTAACCTCCTACACTGATATTGACGCATCAACCGAAGTTTTTTATTTGTAATAGAAGGATTATCAGTCATCTTTTTAGCTAAATATTTATGTAACTTTTTTTGTCATATCTTTTTGTTGCTTTATGGGCTTGTAAGGCGGGCTTAACAAGCCTACAGATTTTGCTCAAGTATAAGCTGCTTATAACTAGACTCATTGGTTCATCAAACCAGCTTACGTTATGCTCTATCCAAATAAATGATCTCCATTCTCTAACATTGTTGAGCTTGACAAGCTACTCATCAAGCTTGAAAACATTGATGAGCTCAAGCTTTATTATTGAGCTAGACAAAAATTAAGGTCAGAGAAAGATTTGTGGAGCTTTAAATTTACTTGCCAAATTGGCTAATGAGGTAGTTCCAGAAGTAAGTAAAAAAAAAGAGCTTTATTAATGTTATGAATCCAACACTTGTGTAGCTCACTAACCTGCCACAGAACTCAAATAAAGCAACCAGAAACATTGTAGATCTTTCATCACTCTTTTTACGAGATCCAGCCATGTCCTTTGACATTCTTATCTGGTCTTCATACCTTTAATAGCTTCATTAATAACCGACCTGATCACTTGCCATTGTTGATTTAAAGTTGGATTTCTACTGCTGAATGGAGAGAAATTAATATAGTATTACTATTTTTTTTCTTTTTCTTGTAGGTACCATAGCCTTCACCACACTGAGAAGGACTCCAATTACTGCCTCTTTATGCCTTTGTTTGATGCATTAGGTGGAACAATCAATACTAAATCCTGGTCATTGCAGAAGGAAATAAGCTCAGGTGTGTGCTTGATCCATCTTGTTTGAGAGATTAATGACAACCTCAAATCTTTCTTCCTCTCATGCATTAGTTGATTTTAACAATGAAAATAATAATTTTCATATTTAAATAAGCCTTTTGAAGATTAACAAAGTGATTAATATTAAATTGTTCATTGTTTGACTCATATTAGTCAAAATAAACTTGCTTTTTGCATCAAACCGACATATTTTCAGCATCAATTTCATGTTATATATCAATGTAAACTTCGGCACAGAGCTGTGTAGGTAGGCCCCACTGTTGCTTAAACTTGTGAGATCTGACCCATGGGAGCAAAGGCTATTGCTGTTAACAGCTGCTCAGCAAGTTGCCATTGATGACACAGAGTGAAGCTCACGGCAAATGTATTTTTGCTTCAAAAGTAACAGAACATATGAACCTAATAATTGAATCTCTTAAATGGCATACAACATGCACAGACTTGGTAGATAACGTTATTGTTCATCCATGCTTTTCGCACAATTTAATCACAAATTTGAATCTGGTGTAGAAAATGAGTTTTTTTTTATCATTAAAACATTCAATAAAATATGAAAGAAATAAAAAAAGATAGCACAACCACCGCTTTTGAAGTTAGAGCAATTGACTTGTGTGATGCCAGTGAAGCAAATTTAATGCAGATTACGCCATGTTTTAAGATTGCCTCGGTGTGCTTTCTTATTAATGGTGATTGGTGACCTGCTTTATCTTGATGGTTGGGAGATGGAAGGCTTTTAGTTATAGAATTGGTCACAGAGTAATCACAATTAAACTATCAAACCCATGGATTTAAACCATTCTCAAGAATTTTACATTAAATTGTGAGTGAAAGATTAAGGCTCCATTTGGAACAGCTTATTTGCTGCGGAAGACACCACTTTAACGTTTGGAAACTGCATTTGAACAGCTTATTCGAAAATGCAGTTGGTTTTTTACACTAAACGCGAAACGCGGTCAGCATTTCCAGATAAGCACCCAAACACACTCTAATTTACATGGCAGGCTAAGCTTTTTTTTGGGGACCAATAATGAAATTTTTGAAGTCTTTTTTTCTAGAAAGTATATTTTTCTTATGATTTACACTTTTAGCATGTCATATAACTTCTATTCAGTACATGATTTATAGATAATTTTTCTTTTATATTTGATGAAGAAAAAAGGTCAAAACTTATTTTTAGACTATTTGTATTTGGTCATTTTGGTCCACCAATATAAATGTGTTCAATATAGGCAACCAACTCCTTAAATGATAAAAAAATAGTTTCTTTGTTAAAGTCTTTGATTAAAATTGTTGCCCATAAATAATCCATGAATCATTCCGACCTTTTTTTATAAATAAATCCTACAACTGTTTATTTTCCCTTATAATATTTTTTAACGAACTTGAAAAGTGTAAAAGAATTTGCATCAACTAGAAATTTGGTCATTCTGTATGAATTTCTATTTGATTTTACTGATTATTTTCTATAGCTTTAAATGACAAATTATTTTTTATTTGAGTTGATAAATTGGGGTAGAAAATTTATTTACTAAGTGCCTACTGACATAAGAAGATCCGAAAACAAATACATACCATGCCACCTCAATTTCTTCACAACTTGTGTTAGCTCACCTGCCATAACTGTAACATTAGATTTGCTTTAATTGTTTGCCATGTAGTATTAGTAATAAATTTTACCTTTTTACTCAGTAATGATCCTAAAGACTGCCCTCATAATGAAAAAAAATATTACGTGCGAACATAATAGTTGTGGATTTGGTGATATTGGGGTAGTATTGTGATGATACCACCCAAATACTACGAATCCGCATATGCCGATGCCGCACATAATAAGCCGCAAATCCATTGACAATTCCAACCTCTTAACTAGTCTGACCTTGTTAGCATTCCCATGGCTGCAGGGAAGGACGTCGAGGTACCAGATTTCGTCTTCCTGGCACATGTCGTCGACGTGATCTCCTCCCTACATGCTCCCTTTGTTATCCGTTCTTTCAGCTCGAAGCCATTCAAAGTTCTGCCTTACATTATGGCTCTCTGGCCTGGTGGCTTCCTTGTCATGCTAGCAATGTGGGGTTGGTCCAAAACCTTTCTTTACTCATTCTACAATCTCCGAGGCCGATTGCACCAGTACTGGGTGGTGCCCAGGCATGGCTTTCAGGTGGCTCATATTATTCACTCCCATTATAATGCAAATATCATTTTTATATTTTTCTTAAATCTTATAGATTTGCAATTATTGTTCATTTTCAGTATTTTCTGCCTTTTGCTAAGAATGGCATCAATAATCAGATTGAGAATGCCATACTGAGAGCAGATAAGATGGGGGTCAAAGTGCTTAGCCTTGCAGCACTTAATAAGGTACAACTTGCAAGCCTTAGTAACAGTACAAAAAAATGGAAGACTTACTTGCATACTACTCATTTCCTATGTATTTACGTATGGAAGATTTGGGTGTATAAATGTAAAAAAGTAAAGTTTAGGTGTTACATAGTGTTACATATATAAATACATAAATACATGGGAATTGGGTGATTTTGCACAGCTTTAGAACACTCCAAAAATATCAAGGCAGAATTACACTTCTAATATGCTTCAGTGCTTTAAAATCCGTGTAGAATTAAGATTGCAGATGATGCAAATTGTTTATAAATATTTCTTTTATATATTTTTTTGTCTTTTCAACCACATTTTGTTCTTGAATTATAATATATGGGGTAGGAACCAAATAAATGGGATTAGCAATAAATGCATATAGATGGGTGATGTCGAATTTAGATTAAAGTTCACATGGAGGCATGTGAAGGTAGTTTTGGATGTCTTTGTTTGCAATTCTGGATTTGCTGAGCTCATTTCCACATGAAAATATTAGAACATAAATCTAAAGCAGTTTAGAACATATTAAAACATTCATTATTTCAAGTGGTTTAAAAAGAATAAAAAAATCATTGTTTTATTTATTTCTTATTTTTTCTTAGTGTTGTGGTCATGGTAAGAAAATAAAGGTAAAAATGCGAAATATATTTATTCATTTATATATTTATTTTGGCAGAATGAATCGCTGAATGGTGGTGGGACTTTGTTTGTGAACAAACATCCTAATCTAAAGGTAAGGGTTGTTCATGGAAATACACTAACAGCTGCTGTGATACTTAATGAGGTCCCCAAGGATGTGAAAGAGGTCTTTTTAACTGGGGCTACTTCTAAGCTTGGGAGGGCAATTGCTTTGTACCTCTGCAGAAAGAAGGTCCGGGTCCTGGTAAGCTTCCTTTTTTTTTTTTACTTTTTTTTTTAATTTTAGTAATTTAGTTAATTTATCTTTTGCTCGAGACTTTTTTCAACATTTTTACAGTCCCTTGCTTATGGATGAAAAATGTATTTCACATTTTAAAAGTCAATATGGTGGTACTTTTTATGTGCTATGAAAGATTTGAGCGGTATAGAAGTAAAAAAGTAAACTTTAAGTGTTAGATATGTAAATATCTAGGAATTGGGTGGTATATATGTAAATGCCCCTTTTTTTGGTTCAAAAATTGATGGCCTCTTTTTCAACATAATAATACTTGGATGCTCCACCACTTTAATAATGAATAAGAGTCAGTTTGTGGCAGCTCTGCCTTCAGAAAATTGTCATAATTCTATTTGACTATTTTTTTTTTGTTTAATTATGGCAGATGCTGACCCTTTCTACTGAGAGATTCCAAAAGATACAGAAAGAAGCTCCTGCAGATTGCCAGCAATACCTGGTCCAAGTCACAAAATACCAAGCTGCACAAAATTGCAAAGTATGAGTTCGCTCACCAAACCCATAATATCAGTGAAAACATATCAATCTTTGCACTAACTTTATCAATATTGATCTGAAATATTTACAGACATGGATTGTTGGCAAATGGATCACCTTTAGCGAGCAACGGTTAGCCCCACGAGGAACTCACTTCCACCAGTTTGTCGTCCCACCCATCATCGGATTTCGACGTGATTGCACCTACGGAAAACTCGCTGCAATGAGACTTCCTCAGGATGTTCAAGGGTTGGGCATGTGTGAGGTAGATCCTGTTCTTCCAAAATGTAATCTTTGGTGATTTAACAATGAAACAATGATGAACTAACAGTTGAACAAATCAAAAAGAGTTGAGAATTAAATAGTATCCAACACATAAACTTTCATATTTACAGTACACGCTTGATCGAGGAGTCGTGCACGCCTGCCATGCTGGAGGAGTGGTGCATTGTCTTGAAGGCTGGACGCATCATGAGGTTGGTGCGCTTGATGTTGATCTCATAGACGTTGTGTGGTCGGCGGCGCTGAAGCATGGTCTCAGGCCAGCCTAATATTAAGAATATTTGAAAGGCTCTACCCTCCTCTTATTTGATTTCCTCATATGTAATGAGAAGAATAGCTTTTACTTATCACCTCAACATTGGATCATTTAAATTTACTAAGAATTACAATCTCTAGTGTTGCAGCTCAAAGAAAATAAAGTTATATTGAGAAAGCCTGTGAGAATTTTAGACCTATTATTTCATTAATAGAGATCCACAGTTTCTAGAGCTTAATTTTTTCCTTTTTCTTGAAAATATTAAGATATTCAGAGTAATGCTTAATGTGTACAAGCATAAGTAATATTATTGGAGGTTAAAAGATTGAATGTTCAGCAAATCTAAATTTTTTTCCCCCTGGCAAACATGTTTAATTAGAGTTACACAACTTCAGTTTTTTTATAGTCCTGGCAGCGTTTGTCTACATATCAACTAAGTCTTAACTCCCAAGAGTCTTCTAAGCATTAAAGCACCATCCTACAAAGCTATTTAGATGTAAGGGTAAAATGTTTGAGTGTAGTTTGTATTATCATTAAATTCATTGCTAAATGATTAACACTATGAACAATGTGGTACATTATTCAATATTTTTTACCCAATTTATAAAAAATTAATCAATGTCATTTACAAATATATTAATCTATAAACTCAAAGCAAATCACTTCATGGTATTTTAATATCCACAGAGTAAAACTTAGAAATCGTTATTGATATTCCATTAATTGTTTGCAAGCACTTGTCTTTGACATCCTTTCCATCCTTGACCATAGCTTTTTTACATTTTAAAGTAATTACACACATCAAATTTATTTTAAGTAATTAAAAATATGTATTTATTATAGAATCAATAATAAATTTTATATATTAGTTGAAACAACTAATAGAATAATTGTAAACATCATATGCATTGAGTCCAACTTGACAACAAAATATTTTCCCACTTTGACAAAGCCCATTTATTTTATCTTCCAAAAGAAATAGTCTTCACACAAAGTTATGTCCAACAGAATTCAGATCTCAAAGCCGCAATTTTGAACAAAACACCATCACTTTCATTCTTACTCATATGTCTAATCTTACAATGCCATAAATAAGAATTTGCTATGAAATTGGCACTTAAATTTGCATTTTATCAATTTGTATGTATATGACTAAAACTTCATTAAACATGCAATTTTATTTAACATCCTCATAAAATGCGCCATGTTATTGAGCATATTTCAAATGCATCATTCTAGGTATATGTTATCAATTATATTTCACTCATTATCCTTGTGCTCTTAAGTTTCTTATCGACCAAGTACATCTTCATGTTATCATGTAATCTTTTATTTTCATCATCCAAAATACAAAATTCAATCTATTAAATTTGGTGATTTCTAGTGTTGATCTTTATTCCCTAATCAATGCTCTCGACCAAAGCCGAAGACAACGATAATCAGTATAGGGAAATAATTGAAACCTAATTAAATTTCTAGAGTAAGTCGTTAGTGAAAAGAAAGAATATTATTGCACAATACATATAAAACTTTTTGATTCACCAAATTAATTACTACATCATGTTTTAGTTGTTGAAAATTTTGCCATGATTTAATTGTAGGGAGTTTCACAACTCTAATTATTCAATCTAACTTAAAAATTTAACTCATTCCTTTTAAAAAAATAATCTAAGAGATTTAAATATAATATTTTTTTGTTCAAAATAACACAAATATTGAATAATTATGACAAAATTTAGTTTTATCTAAGAACTTGATTTTATATGTTTCATAATGTTGAAAAATTTTAAAAATATGTCTATTGTTTGTTTTGTTGGAAATAAGAAAAAAATTATTGAACTAAAATGTTGGGATATTAGTTGTTAGGTTCTTATTTAAAATATCCCGTGATCAAAATTTATTCTAATAAAGTTGTCACTATATAGTTTTGTGCACTGTTAGTAGCATTATTGGACCTCTTTTAAAAAAAATTATTTTTATCAAGTTATATTGATTTATAGGGAAGAAAATGTTAGTTTAATTCTCAAAACCAACTTCATTATCTTATAAAGATGTTACAATTAGGGTTTTTATACATATTTTTGTAAGGCACTTAGGAAACTTAACTCATTTGTAAGCCACAAAAGTTAAATGACTCTTTTTATGTAACTATCAATTATAAACTTTATTTTTTTATCTTCATTAACATACAATGAGCATATGATTTATGATGTGGCTTAAAAATATCAAATAAAGCATTACAATATTCTTATGTTTATAATATATGAATACTTAGTTTTTCACTATCCTAATTAACTCCTGTAATCTAGTTATACAATACATTTACAACTCATTATATTTTGGAGTAAACTACTGTAACTACTAGTAGATAAATATGAGTATTAGAATTTTTTGACACAATCACAAGAAAAGTACCACCATATTATGCATTAAAAAAATAGAATGATATGAATCCTTGAAGCCTTGAATACAAACACTCGAATAGAAGTAGACATACTTGAAATGTTCATCATCATCAAGCTAAAGATCAACATTGGTCCCTAAACCTTTTCCATGAATTAAATAAAATTAGATGACAAAATATAAAGGGATGCACTGAAGGATCTTTCTATATATCTAATAGTTTGTTTGAGACATTAAGCTTTCTCATCTTCTCATTAACTATAATCATATTTGCCTTCAAATTAGTATCGCATATGATTCCCTTTTTATTTATTATATGAAAAAAGATTCATGATTGGGTTTGCCAAAAGAATTTGATATCCAAATTTTAAGCATGCTCTAGATCATGGATTTTAATCTCAAATATATGAGTTTGTAGCTTCTTTTCTTGCAAAATTCATGAGCATTTATTTGAAGTGGAATGAATATATCATACATATCTGATTGATTTCATCACATTGAATTAAAAGTTTTTTATTTCATTGCATATATATGTAAAAATTCTCACTAATTCATTATTAATTTATAAAAGATGTGCCAAATTCAATTGAATTGAGGACAAACCAGAGCATCAGATGATTATGCTAGCAGCCATTGAATTGAAGATGCATCTAAACATTGACCTTGATAAGAAGAAACCACATAACTCATCAATTTGCTAATTTTGGGTAGGATAAAAATTGGGGTTATAATCCCTACTAAATGCTTTAGTATAGATAATACGAAAGAATCTATGAAGCTACTATCCTCTGCATCTTCTTCTACATGTCATGTCTATTGCACTACTTGCTTCTATATGAACTATATTTGCATTATTACCCATACCTATGATAAATGATGAGCTAGGTGATCATGCACCACCCTTATTTGTAGAAAAACTTATAATTGAAATCTTTTTTATATCAATTAGCACACATAAGAATGATTGACATTGAATGAATGTGCATCTCATTAAAAAATAAGATGATATTCTCTTAGTAACTCAATTGAAGGAATTCAATGATTGTATGCAATACTCCCTTAAAGTTCTACACATTACCTCTATTTTCAAACTTAATAGATATAATCAATATGCATTACATATTGTAAATGTTTTATGATATTTTTAAGTATACTTCTTTTTTGCAACATCAATTCTTTGTTCAACATCATAGTAAATGTCCTGTCATGTCTTCATTCCCTTTAATGTTGTACAACAAATTGATGAGCAGTTTACATTTAAAAGATGATTGGTCTACATTAAATTTCACTGTTGCTCAAATCATATTTGAATCTTATTAAAATCAAACTTTTTATCTATTTGAGCAAAATAGACTATACATTCTAAAATTTCTTACATTTGAATTTTGTAATTAGATATATTTGTCATCAGTCATCCAGTTCAAATTAATCAACTAAAATAAATACCACATAATTTAAAAAAAAATAAAAAAATTAATTGCATTTAATCCTAATTTTTTGGAGGCCATATCTAACATTAGGACTTCAAGCATTTATGACATAAATATGATTTGATAAATAATTTTTGAGCCATGCTAGACGATCCAATGTGTCAAATTTGAGCAAGCTTCGACTTAACTTGTTAACTCATGAAATCACTCATTTATAAAATAATATAAAAATTACTTAAAACAATTTAAAATAATGGAATTTAATTACACAGTTGTTAAAAATATTTTAAAATTATATTCTGCTTCCCAATATTAAATAATTTCTTACTACTTTTATCTATTTTTTTATTCTTCTTATTATTTTGTTAAGATAAATTTCTGAATTAAAATTATTTTCCCTTTTTTTCATAATAAATAGATTGAGCCAAAATAACTGGTGCCGGTTAAGCTTGCTTCCCTCCAACACAGGTAGGGCTGTAAACGAGCCAAGCTTGAGCGAGTTTAGGCTTGACTCGTGTTCAACTTGTTTGAAATAGCTCGTGTTCGAAATCGGCTCGTGAACAGTGCGTTCGTGTTCGGCTCGAAATTGGTTCCTTAAAATTAAATTGAAAAAAATAGATGTAAAGTGTGAGATTCGAACTTGGATCAAATGTATATACAAAATAAGAAACTAACCACATTATCACATGAGATGTTATGATTTAAATTTAGATATAAATATATATAATATATTATTATATAAATAATCTATGTAATATATTATTATATAAATACTTATATAAAATTTTTATTTCGAGCTAAAACGAGCCGAACACGAGCGAACAAAGAACTGTTCGTGTTTGGCTTGTTTATAATTTCCAGCTTTAAAAATTTGTTCGTGTTCGGATCGTTTACTTAAAAAACGAGCCGAACACGATAAAGAACGAGCCGAACACGAGCAGTTCGTGAACAACGAGTTTGTTTGACATCCAGACACAGGCAAGTGTCGTCAAAGATAAGAAAGCATTTCCAAACAGCACATAATTCTTATGCATTTATATTTTTACATCTGAATTAAAAGTTTATATTCCTAGTATAATCTTTGGCTATTTACACTTGAGTGTTTCCTAAACTATAGAAGAAGATAATATAAGAAAATTGAAACTATTTACGTGCAGATAAGCTAAAGGAAAAAGATTATTAAATTATGTTAACTTTTATGATTTAGTCTCACGTTATTAAATCTTTAATTACACATTTCTTTTAAAGGGTGTTTGACAGCATAATAATAAATTTATCCATGAATTTAACCTAAATCTAGCCAAACAAAAAACAATAAAAATTAAATCCAACGTTTTCTTAAATCCAATTTTCTTGCGTTCCACCTAGGGCCGTCAAAAAAGCTCGTTGTTCACAAACAGTTTGC